TAAGACAGAATAACCCACAAGCAATTTTCATTCCTTGCTCTGCTCACAGTTTGAACTTATGTGCAGTACACGCTATTGAATCATCGGCTCCTGCAAAATCCTGTTTTGGAAATATTCAAAAGCTATACAATCTGTTCAGCAGCAGCCCAGTTCATTGGAAAATTCTTCAGGAGGAGACAGGCCAATCATTACATAAACTTTCTGTTACACGATGGAGTTCAAGGATTTAATCAGTTAAGCCACTAGCAAAAAAGCCAAGAGAGATCTTGAAATCATAACATCGTCTAAAAGAGTTAGACCTTCCAGGCGAAAGTAGTAATGAAGTGCATTATCTCATTAAATGGATGAATTCTTTTGAATTTGTTGTTTTTGCTACTTTTTGGTTTAAATGTTTGATGGCAGTTAACAACGTGAGTCTTCTGCTTCAATCCACTCAACTCACTCTCGATGATGAAGTAAAGATTCTAAATGGCCTTTTGATGGATCGAATCCGTCTGTCTTGGGACCTGATTTTGATAGAGGCAACAGAAGTTGCAAAGAACTTGAAATTTGATAAAATAATGTTTACTGTGAAGAGAACGCGAAAAAAGATCATCTCAGATGGAACTGCTGGTTACAACCACGAAGAAGCATCAAAAAACTTTGAGTGTAATGTCTTCAATGTTGCACTCGACAATTTGACTAGTCAAATGAGATCAAGATTTAAAGTAATAGAAGAGGAATGTAGCAAGTTTTCCTTCCTTTGGTCTTTACAGAAATCTCAAACAGACCAAGAACTAGGTTTAAAAGCTGAGAATCTGGCTAAACTTTACCCAAAAGACTTATGTAAAAACAAATTTTCTGATGAAGTTCGGCATTTTTTTTCCGTAAGAAGAAATATTCTAGCCAGCGAAAAGCATGTCGAACTTCTAAATGAAGTTTATGCAAAGGGGCTGTATTCAATATTTCCGCAAGTGTGTGTTTCTCTTAGAATCTTTCTAACATTGCCCGTTTCAACATCTGAAGGAGAAAGATCTTTCAGCAAGTTAGCTATCATCAAAGATTATCTTCGTTCCACAATGGGCCAGGAGCGATTGTGCTACTTGATGATCCTTTCAATCGAATCAGATTTAGCCATTAACGTTAATTATGAAGAAGTTATTTCAAATTTTGCTGCTAAGAAGGCCCGGGAGATGTGTTTGTCGATTAAGAATTGATTTTATCATAGTTTGTTCTTGCAAATCAAAATTAAATGTGATTTTTGGTTTTTTAAGTACACTATATTAATTTATTTGCTATTTTAAGACCTGAAGTATGATAGGGCATCCATTAAACTTTTGGACCCGGGCATCACAAAAGCTCTGGGCGGGCCTGTATATATATATATATATATATATATATATATATATATATATATATATTATATATATATATATATATATATATATATATATATATATATATATATATAACATTTATTTTCGTAAACAAATAATATATATTCTTAAAACAATGCCTGAAATCTCAAAACGTAACAAATCGTGTATAATATAATTTTTAAAACATTTTCTAGAAATTAATTTCGCTTAATCAGCGTATTTTTTGAACCAATAGAATTAGTTTTTCGTTAATTTGGCGGGTTTTTAGAGTTCGCAAACATTCTTTTTATTCTTTCGCACAAAGATGTTTGGAGAACATTCAAGTTTTTTATGTTTCCATGTATGTCCGTAAAAACCGCAAACCGTTCAAAGTTACCCGTAATGACAAAATTTTTTTGTTTCGTACAGTTTGCGCTAGGTTAATCTCTACAAAAATTATTTTACTAACATTTATTTTACTTATTTTAGATAACAAATATTTTTACATAAAGGGTGTTCTGATGATCTCTTATTTCTAGTTTGTTATCATTTTTTCAAATTTGCTAGATATTATGTAAAAAAACAATGTTCAAGTAGACGTTCAAAGTTACCCTCGCAATTCGGGTAACTTTGAACACTATTAAACTGAATGTCAATTTTAATCTTTTAAAAAGTTTTTCTAAAAAGTTGATTAAATTTCTTTGTATTAGTTTAAATTAATTTTTTAAAAAATCTAGTTTAACTATTTCGAGAATAAACAAACAAGTTTTTCAATAAAATATTTCTAGAATAAACAAGCAAGTTTTTCAATAAAATATTTCGAGAATAAACAAACAAGTTTTTCGATAAAATATTCACAAAATAATTTTTAAGGTTGTAAAAGAAAAAATAATTAAGACATTATTTTTATATAATTCTCCACAAATATACACCATTGACTATAAAACTAAATATTTCAGTGTTTCACTCTTTTAGTCTTGAGTTACAACTAATATTCTATTTAACGTAATATCGTAATACTCCTGCAAAAAAAGTAAATATATAATTTATAAAATGCAGGCTTTGGGTTTCACAAAGTAAAAACCAAGAATTCATAAAATTGGAAACCCTTTTTCAGAAATCCTAATTGTGCGGCTGATAATTGCTAACTAATTCAGCAGATGGTTGATCCAAAACTATTGTTAAAGCGCAGTCTTTACATATAACTTCATCACCATCAGTGGTATCTTGTTCTTTATCTTCTTCACAATTTTCATACGTTGTAAACAGTTTTTCGAATTTTCCATTATTTTTATTGTATCAATAGCCGCTTTTTGTATTTAATGAACATAACATAAGGCAGGGTGAATAAAAAAAAGCATTTGATTTTACTCAGCGTTTTTGGAGTAATTTTTCAGTTTTACGTGAATAAAAATTTGAGCAAAATCGCTCAAATTTTTATTAACGTAATGTTAAGCAATTTACTCCAAAAAATTTTCTATCATTGGTCTAACTGCATAAGGTGAAGAAGGAAACCAAAACTTTGAAACCACACTCTGAAAACAGGCAAGCTGAAGATATTTAGATTTTGCTGAAGCATTTGATAAAGTGCCATATGCCAGATTAACAAGAAAGATAGAATCTTACGGTATTGTTGGAGATATTTTAAAATGGATAGAATATTTTTTACATAACAGAGGACAGCGAGTTATTCTAGGAGATTATGTATCAAACTGGTTACCAGTTATCATTAGTGTACCTCAGAGGTCAGTTTTAGGGCCACTTTTATTCTTAATCTTTATCAATGACCTACCTGATAATATCCAAAACTATATAAAGTTGTATGCAGATGACAGTAAAATAATAAACATTATAAAATCAGCTGAAGATCCTAGAAAGCTGCATCCTAGAAATCTGGTTAACAAAATTCAATTATGATAAATGCAAGGTCATACATATTGACAAAAAAAATCTTCAAACCACATATGTAATGCATGATTCAGATACAAATCAAGATCACATTTTGTTAGTAACTGATTCTGAACGTGATCTTGGTGTCATAATTCAATCAAACCTAAAATGGGATTTGCATATTAATGCAGCAGTTTGTAAAGCTAATTCAGTCGTGGGTTTGATTCGTCGAACTTTCAAAAACTTAAAAATATATATAACATTTGTGCGTCTACATCTTGAATATGCTGTGCAAGATTGGTGTCCCTATCTGAAACAAAATATTGACAAAATCGAAAAGATTCAACGAAGAGCAACCAAATTCATACTATCACTCAAAAAATCTTCTAACAAAAAACGATTAAAAATGATGAATTTGACAACTTTACAAGAACGTAGGCTGCGAGGTGATTTAATCCAACAATACAAAATTGAGCGCAATCAAGATATTATAAATTGGGTTCACAAAAATGAAAGTTTTAAACATGCTCTTAACCTACGTTAGCACAAATACACTTTGAATAAATCTTTTTGTAAAAGGAAGTGTAGATTTAACTTTTTTTTTTCAACAGAGTAACTAATCCATGGAATAGCTTGATAAATGAAATCGTTGACGCTGACTCAATTGACAGATCTACCTCGAAAAATTGTGTAGAGATAAAGCACTTTAATTATTCAAAAACTAATATTAGTTATTATAGTACAATATCTTATGTTATTGTACTACTCATCTGCTATCAGTTGTTACGGCTCCGACTTATTATTATTATGTTGAGAAACTATTAAATGTGAAGTCATCTTGAGCAACCATACGCGATACCATTTTTTCACTAAAATTTCCCTTACAAAAGCGTGTCAATTGCTCTGCAGCCGTATTCACATCTCTCTTTTAGTTAAAATTCTTCCATTAGCCAGTTCCATTAACTAGTTTTTGTGCTGTTTTTCTCATTGCATCTAAACGTTGCGATGCCAAACGACGATGATATTGTTTAATTAGTAAATCGTAACCGGTGATTTTTTAAATAATGGTTGCTGAGTAATTCTTTAAACTAAATTCAAGGAGTTTGTAGTTAGTTTCGTTTTTTTAAATTTTATGTCTATGACTCCACACTCTTATGGATTAGGGGAGAGCGGGGCTGGTTGTCACGCGGATTGGTTGTCACAACGTTTATATTAAAAGACTATAAAAGATGCGAAACTTTTGAATCACTTGTTTAATGAACATTGGAAACGTTTCTCTGCCCAATTGATTTCAAGTTGATCAGACCATTACAAAAATAGTTATTGCAAATAATTCCTTTTAAGCTTTGGTAAGTAAAATTTTTGATATTTTGTGTTTTTCTTTTACCGAATTAAGTATATAATAGATGTTTTTAATATTGATTATTCTAGTTAGTTCACCAATTCATGAATTTAATTAAACTAGCAAACGGCTATTAAAGCGCGTGCATCTAGGTAAAATCAAGCTCCTTATATTATAAGTCATGATGGGGCTGCTTGTCACATTTTGTTTGGGGATGGTTGTCACACTGTGAAAAGCAACCTTATGAATCTTTTTAAATTGAAAACGAAATATAATTTACATAATGAATATGTTTTTTTCCCAACAGAAATGCTGCGACAGAACTTTTTTTTTTCCCCAACCGAAATGCTGCGACAAAATCTTAGTTTTCTCGGTTGCAGAAATGCAAGCGAGAAAACTAAGATTAAAAAGAAATTAATTGATAAAGGTGGCCGTAAAAAAAATCAAAAATAAATCCTGCAAAAAGAAAAAGAAAAGCTGCAAAAAATATTTAAATTTTGTTAAAAGATAAGGACAATTTTTGCTTGTAATGTTGTTAGTCATTTGCTAATAGCAGACCAAAAGAGACATAGGTGCAGTGTCTAGAATGCAAGAAGTGGGCACATGAACAATGCACACCAGGCATGCTAATCTTTATATGCTTATATTGGAATTCAGATAAAGTGTTTGATTAACTAAAAATGAAACAAATTTCTTAAAAACTTGACTTTTATTACATTGTATTAAAAAGCTTTGTCTATTATTCCAGTTGTAATATTTAAATGTGAATGATTTTATAATACAATAACACAATTAATTATATTTAAATAATACATAAACTGTGTGACAACCAACCCCGTCCTGAGTGACAACCAACCCTCATACCCAGTGGGCACCCGACGTCAATCCGACGTCGGATTTACGTACGATTTTCATCAGCGATGTCAAAAGACCTATTCCGACGTTGTTCCGATGTCAGTAAAATGACGTCGGGCGATGTCTTTATCTCGACATCCCCTGACATCGTTTCGATGTATTTTGACGTTGTTCCGACATCTTGTAAAAGACGTCCAAAAAACGTCGCAGTACTGACATCGATCCAACGTTGATAAAAAGACGTCGGGCAACGTCATAATATTAACGTACTCCGATGTCTTTTGACGTCTTCCGACGTCAATCCAACGTCCTTAAAACGACGTCGGAACAACGTCGTAAGACATCGCTGATGAAAATTTAGTCCAAACCCAACAATATGTGTGCAATTGCGCTCTTCAATAAATATGTGAACTAAGCGTGTTTTTTATTAATGGAAAGAAGTTTCAATAATGGTTGATAAAACATCATGAGGTTTTGTATGATGCACTAGCATAGTTTTTTAACTATTAACATTTTCGAGTATACATTTTTTATAATATATAACTATTCGTTTTAATATTTATATAATATTTAAACAAAATTATTTCTTATCAAAGAAATAATTCCCAAATAGCTACAAGTATAAATTACTAAATAAACGCAGCATTAATAAGTCCCTGTGGTAAAGTGGTAAGCGCGTAGCATTTAGTTTCTAATAGACCGAGGTTCGATTCCTGCCTGAGGCAACGTTTTTTAGTTTTCAAAAAACACGTTGGATTTACATCGGAATGCCGACGTCGCGCGATGTCAGTTTATCCGACGTCAAATAACATTTCCATTTCCAACGTAAACCCAACGTCGATCCGACGTCGAGATCCGACGTCGCTCGACGTTCGTTCGACGTCGAAATGCCCACTGGGTAGAGGAGTTGGCTGTCACACTCTGGTGACCTTATTAAAATTAATGTTTTTGTGAAATAAAATGATATAACAAATACTGGGAGATAGAAAATACACCTTTGTTTAAAATTGCGTTCTTTTTGAATAAAAATTGAATAAGTTGGTTATCGCACTTTATACCAAAAAGTATAAAGTGTGACAACCAACCCCACTCTCCCCTACACATTTTCTCATAACTCTATTTTCTTCAATTTTAGCAAACTGATCAACCCAGTGGGCATTTCGACGTCGAACGAACGTCGAGCGACGTCGGATCTCGACGTCGGATCGACGTTGGGTTTACGTTGGAAATGGAAATGTTATTTGACGTCGGATAAACTGACATCGCGCGACGTCGGCATTCCGATGTAAATCCAACGTGTTTTTTGAACAATAAAAAACGTTGCCTTTGGCAGGAATTGAACCTCGATCTATTTCAAACTAAGTCCTACGCGCTTAGCACTACACCACAGGGACATATCAATAAATGTGTTTATTTAGTAATTTATACTTTTAGCTATTTGGGAATTATTACTTTGATAAGAAATAATTTTGTTTAAATATTATATAAATATTAAAACGAATAGTTATATATTATAAAAAATGTATACTCGAAAATGTTAACAGTTAAAAAACTATGCTAGTGCATCATACAAAACCTCATGATGTTTTATCAACCATTATTCAAACTTCTTTCCATTAATAAAAAACACGCTTAGTTCATATTTATTGAAGAGCGCAATTGCACACATATTGTTGGGTTTGGATTAAATTTTCATCAGCGATGTCTTACGACGTTGTTCCGATGTCGTTTTAAGGACGTTGGATTGACGTCGGAAGACGTCAAAAGACATCGGAGTACGTTAATACTATGACGTTGCCCGACGTCTTTTTATCGACGTTGAATCGATGTCAGTACTGCGACGTTTTTTGGACGTCTTTTATAAGATGTCGGAACAACGTCAAAATACATCGAAACGACGTCAGGGGATGTTGAGATAAAGACATCGCCCGACGTCATTTTACTGACATCGGAACAACGTCGGAATAGGTCTTTTGACATCGCTGATGAAAATCGTACGTAAATCCGACGTCGGATTTACGTCGGGTGCCCACTGGGAATTTATTAAAACTAAGTACTTTTATTGTGACACAGAACTATGTATTAACTCAAAACTGAATACCTTGTATACTATGTCCTTTCTTTGATAAAAATATTATATTTAAATCGTATTTTTCCAGACTTATTTTTTTGATGATTAAGCAATTTTTGATTTTAGTGTTAAAGATATGTGTTATCTGCATTATTTCATCAAGTAAAAATCAATTTTAATATCAACATAACCAAATTAGCAAGCTATGAAACTGTATTCTTTCTAAAAACTGTCCTCTGGGGCAGAACCGAATAGACGCACAGGAGGCACAACCGCACACTTTTGATTTTTATCGAAATTAGGTAATTACAAATAACAATAATTACAATCGTCACACTTGAATGCGTTCATGTAAAAACTTGAGTAGAAATTTTTGTTTTGAAATATTGGAAATTAGATTTCGTACTTTTTTATTTAATTTTTATAAATGAGTTCTTGAATAAAATATAAAGCTAAGAGTATATCGAATGAAAACTCATTTTGTAAGTACAAATAATGCAGACACAGTATGCAAATGTGCAACAAAATCAGCAAATAATCTAAGCTGTGAAAATTGTATAGAAAATGTACCAAGAAACGTGTACCCCCAACAATTTTTGTGAGGGTGCGGTCGTGCTTCACAATGGAGGCAAAAGCGTTTTTTTCATTAAGTGTAATTTTTGTGTAATAATATTTTCAAAAACCGTTTAATTTTTTTCTTAAATAAATCAATTTAAAGCTAAATGATGTGGGTTTTTTTTAATTAAAGCTTAATGATGTGGTTATTTTTTTGCTATGGTAGTTAACCGAATGTTGGTACTTGATAATTCAAGAAGTCTATTAAACTCGCTATTACATTATATTGGCCGTAATAACATTGATAACACACAGGAAGAAGTGAATAATTTGCTAAGTTGGTTACTACGTGCAAAAATGCAGGTCAATAATGAAATAAAACTCAATTGATTGATTTTTCCTTAGAAGGTGACAAGGGGTTGTCAATACATGTCGCTGGCAGTAAGTTAGAAAATTGCGGATTTTTGTAAGACCTCATAAATACCTAGATATTGTATTTATTTATAAAGGAAATAATAATAATAATAATAATTATATTGAAATAAACTGTTGAAAAAAACACATTTCTTTTTTATTTTCTAATAACATTAATTAAAACGTTACGGGGGCGGTAATACCTCCACTTTTCCTATTTATAACTGGAAGGTAAGGAAACACCCATGCTGCTGCCTTGGTCGCAGCATGAAATTTTTGACAGCTTGTTATAAAATATCCCTTTACGTTTCTGTTATATATATAATGTTATTTGTTTTATAAAATTCATATACAAGCTGAAAAATGTTATAAAACTATGTGGGAATTAATAAAGCCAAATTATTGTTTCATAAGAAAAAATTCAACTTTTTAGTCATTATTATTCTAGAGTTGTATATATATATATATATATATATATATATATATATATATATATATATATATATATATATATATATATATATATATATATATATATATATATATATATATATATATACATATATATACCTACATAAATATATATATATATATACATATATGTATATATATACATATATATATATATATATATATATATATATATATATATATATATATATATATATATATATATATATATATATATATATATATATATATATATATATATATATTAGGGTGATTCATATTTGACGAATTTTCGAAAATCAAGTTGGTCCTACCTGGAATGGTTGACCACCAATATAAAAATAATTTTAAGCCCCAAAATTTTAATGTCACGTGACTTTAAAGGTCCCCGTCGGTCAATTTTGTGTACAAAAACGTATCAAACTTTAGGGGTCTGGCGGGGACCTTTAAAATCAACTCAGAAAGCCAACTTTTCTTTTATATGGTATATTTTGGACTATTTATTTATAATAGAGTAGAACCAAAATGAAATATGGTGGTATTTATTCCACATAGTGTGGAGAAAGTGACGAAAAAAACGAATTTTTACATAAAATGACGCACCACTACGTATAGCTGATGCTTGTTTATTCTTCATATTTAGGCCGAATTTTGAAAAATAATGTTAGGACTAAGCATTAATAATGTTTATATAGAAGGGGCATGTCAATAGCTATCCGCCCCCTCACCCTATTTTCGGAGATGTCTCCCCCCTCCCTCCCCTCCCCCCCATACTTTGTTCGTTGGAGACGGGAGGGGGGGCAAGCAAATTTATTTAAATTTTATTGTAAATCATATTATTTAAAATCACTTTATTTTCTTAAAAAAAAATACTTCACTTGGCAATATAAATATTAAAATCGTGATATGTAAACATAATAAAATATAATGCAATAGTTAAATATAATATATAAATCATGTTATTTTTTTTCTCTTCTTGCATATTGCTTTATATGCTAGCTGCAACTGTTCCTTGGTTCCTGACCCACGGAGCTGATCTCGTCTTTGCTGCACAGCTAGTAAAAGTTCTTGACAATCATCCTCGTTGTGAACATAATTCACAAACTCTAATACAAGTTTTACAGCCCTTTCAGAACTTTCGTTCACTACTTCAATTTTACTTACAAAATTGGAGAATGTTTTGAACTGGTCAACATAGCACCACATAGGAGCAGGAGAGTTTAACCAAAGTTTGTCCTCCATTCTTGTCAGGTTTAGCAAACTGAAGATGAACCAAGAGTTCTCTCCGATTAATCGAGCAAGTCCTGGTGGCACTTCTTGTTTAAAATTTAACTCTTTGATCAAGTTTGACTTCTCTGAATGCTGAAAATGATCAGCAACTGGTATGGAGAATAATGTTTTTGCAATGTTTTCTCTCTCCACATTAGAAAGGTCAGGGTCTAGGAGAGCAAGTGGAACTAAAGTTTCATCTAAGTACCAGGTGTGTCTCTTCATTGACATCATTGTGCTTTTAATTCCGTTTAGAACTCTCTTGGAATCAGCGTTGTGTTTCTCTACATGTTCTTTGTACTGCACCATTTGCCAATAAGCTTTTACATCTTGAAATGGTGCAGCTGATGGTAATGAGGTTCTCAGAAACCAGACAGAATAGAAAATCGAGATAAATTCTGCCATTGCCTTTAATTCTTTCCTTTGGGAAACAGTCAAATCATAGGGCAGATGTGAACTCAATATCTGAATTTTCAAGTAGTAAATGGCTTTTAACATGAACCTAGCATGAGAAACACAGCCTGGAGCTCGAACTTTAAAAAATATTTCAGGATGCAGATACATCAGGGTAAGTTCCAATAACTCCCTATAATCCCCTCTGGGAACAAAAGAAAACCATCCATCAACATTTTGATGGATGGTTTTCTTTTGTGCTCGCCAAATAGTTGATTGAGACAGTAAAAAGTTTTCAACATTTCAACCTGAATTAACAATCAAATTTGTACACACATGCAACAAATCTCTAGAGGAAATATTTTTGGAAACTGAAGTCATGGCAATATCTTGTACAAAATTCTTGGCTAACTGCGACGTATCATTACTTGGACCTGGCTGTTCGAAATCAAAAGAACAATCTGAGTCCATGCTGGTACTTGTATCACTAGTTTCAGAAGAAAACTGAAGCTCTGTAGTCAAATCATCTCTCTGAGAAAACTGTTCAACACTATGTACTAACTGTGGATGTTTCAATCTTCTCTGTTCTCTCTTCTTAACCCTCCGGTTATATAGCTTGTCTTTTTTACCCAGAGTCATTTTACGTCTGGCCTTTTGATCTCTCAAAAATTTCATATCAGTACGATACGAGACCTTATTAAGGCTTGTCTTCTTTAGAATATCTTGGATATTTGGTTTAGCAATCCAGAAAACCTTATTTCCTTTTTTTTTGAAATCTTGTCTAGCTTTTCCTGCTTCTTTCGAGTTCTTACACTTACTTTTCTTTAAACTCTCCCAGCTGTTGATCAGATCAGTGATATGCTTCCTATAATAATATATAACTGGTTTAGAAAATATTATATTATCCAAAATTTTTGTAGTGTATTTTATGGTAACCTGTCCATTAAATATGAATTAAATTTTGTTTAACCTACCTTATAAATGGGTCAGTGAGTATCCCATCCTTGTATCCTCCGTCTATCCAAGGTTTCTTAACTGCAAACATAATGCAGTTTTCAGGACAGCTACCAAGACCAGAACACTTTGCTGTTTGATGACCAATGGTACAAGCAATCAGCTTTTTTGTTGGAGTTATTTTGTCTCCAGATCTTCTAAACTGAAAGTAGAGAATAATGTCTTTATTTGTTGAAAACATTATTTCTGGTAGGTTTTCTATAAGATCCTCTTCTTCAAAAAGATAAGCCTTTGTTTTAAGATCTTGGCATCTTGGTTTCTAAACAGTAATTTGATTAAAGAAAACAATTCATATTCATTCTTTGATTAAATGACATGTATTTTACAATAACAATTTTGTATATAACCGCAGATAGTATATCTTTTATAGAATGTTATGGATACACCAGATACACAGAACACAGAGCAGAGAATTTAAAATTACGACAATATGTCTTCTGCAAATACGACAATTTGTTAGTTTATAAAATCACCACGGAAACTAATAAAAATTCCAAAATATTCAGGCATCAAAATGTTATCATAATTTAATATTTATATTGTCTTTTTTTCTAAAGAAAAAAAAGTGATTTTAAATAATATGATTTACAATAAAATTTAAATAAATTTGCTTGCCCCCCCTCCCGTCTTCAACGAACAAAGTATGGGGGGGAGGGGAGGGAGGGGGGAGACATCTCCGAAAATAGGGTGAGGGGGCGGATAGCTATTGACATGCCCCTTCTATATAAACATTATTAATGCTTAGTCCTAACATTATTTTTCAAAATTCGGCCTAAATATGAAGAATAAACAAGCATCAGTTATACGTAGTGGTGCGTCATTTTATGTAAAAATTCGTTTTTTTCGTCACTTTCTCCACACTATGTGGAATAAATACCACCATATTTCATTTTGGTTCTACTCTATTATAAATAAATAGTCCAAAATATACCATATAAAAGAAAAGTTGGCTTTCTGAGTTGATTTTAAAGGTCCCCGCCAGACCCCTAAAGTTTGATACGTTTTTGTACACAAAATTGACCGGCGGGGACCTTTAAAGTCACGTGACATTAAAATTTTGGGGCTTAAAATTATTTTTATATTGGTGGTCAACCATTCCAGGTAGGACCAACTTGATTTTCGAAAATTCGTCAAATATGAATCACCTTAATATATATATATATATATACATATATATATATATATATATATATATATATATATATATATATATATATATATATATACATATATATATATATATATATATATATATATATACATAAATATATATATATATATATTTATATATATACATATATATATATAAATTTATATATATACATATATATATATATATATATATATATATATATATATATATATATATATATATATATATATATATATATATATATATATATATATATATATATATATATATATATATATATATATATATATATATATATATATATATATATATAGATAGATAGATAGATAGATAGATAGATAGATATATATAGATAGATAGATAGATAGATATATATATAGAGATATATATATATATACATAAATATATAAATATAAATGTATATATATATATATATATATATATATATATATATATATTTATATATATATATACATATATATACATATATATATACATATATATATATATATATATATATATATATATATATATATATATACATAAATATTTATATATATAAATGTATATATATACATATTATATTATTATATATATATATATATATATTATATATATATTATACATATATTATAATATATATATATATATATATATATATATATATAATATATATTTATATATATATATATATATATATATATATATATATATATATATATATATATATATATATATATATATATATGTATATATATATATATATATATATATATGTATGTATATATATATATATATATATATATATATATATATATATATATATATATATATATATATATATATATATATATATACATATATCTCTAGTAGCAAGCAACATTAGCGCAATATTGGTACAATATTGATCTAAATATTGGTACAATATTGCACCAATATAAAATGTCCACATTTTGATATATATAGCCAATATTTATTAATAATATTGGCTGTAGATAAACTGCAATATTATAACAAAATTTTTTTCATAGTTATATTATAAAAGCATGAAAGTTTATAACAAGTTATTTTGAAATGTACAGTAAAGTGAATATAAATATGTAAATGTATGTATATACAAGTGTATATATAGAGGCTTATACAACGTGACGCGAATCGTTAACAAATATGTGATTCCGCCCTAAAATTTTGGTATTATGGTTTATCCTCTTTCGGCTAATTGCCATATAGAGGCCACATTACCAAGGTACTGCAAAGACAGGTTCGGCTCCCCAAGGAACGTCATATCCCGCTCTACGGACCAAGAGTAAAGTGAGTTTAGTAAGAACGAAGATATGTTAGAGTGAAAGACAGAAGTAGTCGTGTTAGAAAGACAGCATAGAGAAAGCGGACAGGATTGCACTCGATGTTAGAAGGTGCAATAAGTTGATAAAGGAACAGAAATAGAACTGTTTGTTTATTGTGTTTTTTCCGCCCTAAAATTTTAAATATATTTGATAGATGAATTAATTAACTTAATAAATCAATATTAGTTGACATTTTATATACATTTTTACTTGTGAGTTAATAAAAACGTAAAATGGCTAAAACATGATCAAGTAAAACTAAAAAAAAAAGTAACGCAACTAAGATTATAATACTGTATTAAATTGAAGTACCACATTGAAATCTAAAAAATTATATAGATATAATTTTTTAGATTTCAATATGGTGATTTACGGAAGTCTGTAAAAAAATTTCTCAGAGTAATTACTGCAGTTAAAAATCTAATTAAAACCCATAATTAACGAAAAATTATCAAAACAATTATTTTACTTAACAAATTTGTTATGTATACATATAACTACAAAAAATGTCAATATTAAAAAGCTAATTAGACAAAATTGGCATATCAATATTGGCCAATATGAGCATGCCAATACGGCTACAATATTGGCATTTTAATATTGGATAAACAATATTGTTAAAAGTGGATAATTTTGTTGTGATACATTTTAAGAATTAAGTTCTTATAAGATAATATAAGATCTACAAGAATATTTTAAAAGATCTTGCAGGATTAACAGGATTCTTATAGGATGCTGAAGGAAAATTTTAGATTCGTATATATACGGCCGCAGCCCTCCCCCTTAATCCAGCACTGGTTCCTATAGGAACCAGTGATAGATTAAAGAGGAGCGGGTTAGGGCCCTAAAATTTTGGGATTCCAAAACTATTAAGCGGACCTTTTTCTTTTTCTACTGTTTTAGTCATTTTT